AGCGGAGGCCCTCAAACAGGTGCGATACGATACACTGTGGTGCTTCATCTCTCGTATGACAATCTTTATATTCCGAATAATGGGGTTTATATTGATCTCATATCGTAAATTTTTGTATCGCACCGGTAGTATCGCATCTGTTTGTGGCCACCTTTAAGCTGTTTAAAAATTTTATCAACGTAATTAATATAATAAGATTTTTGGAGATATTTTCAAACCGTTCTAGCTTTCGTAAATATTATTATTTTACCGAAGTATTATGACGGAGATATTAAAATATAATAGATTTAGTAATTACGGTGGAATACCCGCAGCCTTTTTTTGGTGAGGCACCCTAATCTGTATGTGTATATTTAATGAGTTATCGCTCCCGGCTTCCCGGCGATTCTGCCGGCTCGCATGCACCAGCTGTTAATCGCCCAATTGCCCAAATTTCTGTGGAATTATCCCCTACAATATCACCTATAATAAGATATTATCAACGATATTGAAGCCCATCATCAATAAACTGATTACACTAGGAATTTTCCATCACTGTCGCTTGTTTAATCTCTCTCTTGCTCTCTCTGGTCTCACACGAACCAGTCAAGGCTAAAAGTGGTAAGCCAAACCGGTCAAACAGTCAGTCAGCTGGCTGTGCGAAAACATTATACTGTTTATAAATACTTAAATATGTATATGGATTTTCATATACACACGCATACATATTTGTATGTACAGTGGCGCTCACCTAAATAGCACACTTTTATTTTTTAAAATATTCACAATGTTTTACGTGATAAATTTTTATCGTAAGTTTTTTATAAAAATATATTAGATTCTATAATATAAACCACATAAGTCAAAGCTTAAAACTTTATGTACAGCTCAGAAAAATTTAATAAATTTCAAAAAATTTCTTAAAAATTTTCAACTTGAAAAATCTTTAGCAACTTTTTGCGTATGCAGTTTTGTAGCCCATTCATTTTCAGTACATTCGCAGGTTTTGAAATTCTGAAAAATCCCGCTGATTTTTGAGAATTTTTTTTGTCGACGGTGTTGCGTAATTTCTTTCATATAAAAATAGATTTTGTTTATGCGTTATAGGGAGAAAATGCGCAACACCTTCGCCAAAAAAATTCTCAAAAATTAACGGGATTTTTAAGAATTTTTAAACCTGACCATTACCCAAGAAGTTTCTAGAGATTCTGAAAAAAAGTTGAAAATTTTGATGGCGTATTTTGAAATTTGCTAAATTTTCCTGAACTGTACACAAAGTTTTAAACTTTGACTTATACGGTTTATGTTATAGAATCTACTATATTTTTATAAAAAATTAACGAAAAAATGTATCACGTAAAACGTTGTGAATGTTGTACAAAATTCAAGTATGCTATTTAGATGAGCGCCACTGTACATATCAGACAGAAACTCAACACTTGCTCTGTCCAGCATGTCAGCTAGATGCTAGTAGTTCTCTCCAGTTCTTTTGCGGTTGCACTATTTTTTAATTCTATCGCATTTTCCTCCATACAAAGTATTTTCGAAATTTTTGTTTGTATGGAAAAAATGCTTAATACAGTCGGAAACAACTCCAAACTTGCACTTTATTATACTACAATTTAGTGGGCTATAAAATCGGATTAAAAAGTTGAAAATTCATATGCAATTTTGCTGGATTTTTATAATTTTTGCACAAAGTTTAAAATATGAATTTATATGGTTTTCGGTAGATAATGTTCTATACTTTTGTAAAATATAAAAAATATTAAATAAACAAAAGGAAAATTGGAAAAATTTGTTAAAATGTTGCGTCCTTATTTATTTTTCCAGCATTGTGCATATGTTTGCATATATAATTTGGAGAATGAACTCGACCTAAGTCCTCCAATCTACTATCATGCATATATACGTACATAGTATATATTCTATTTATGTTCTCCGATGTATTGATTGCGTGTTTTTGCCAATGTTAAGTCGCTAGTTTCCTAAATGCTAACCACAGTGACCACAGCTGAGTTTTCTGTTGCAACATTTTGCGAATTGATACCTTAAATAGTATGTATGTATGTATCTACATATATATGTATTTATATTAGGGTGGTCAAACATGAGTAAAGTCGGAATTTTAATGCTCTCAACCCCTAGGATTGTTCTATATCGAAAAAATATATCCCTATTTTTTATTTTGAAATCAAAAAATATTTAGAGGTTGCTCAAAGCACTCAAAGTTTTCCACATAGTTTTGTTTTATACATACCTATGGGGAAAAAACAACTTTTCGTAGAAATGGTATAAAATTCTTGAAAATCAATATTTTTCGATCGGAAAACTCTGGTTCTCTTCAGGAGACTTGAAATATTAATATCCAATTGTTTATTTAACCATTTTTTAATACTAAAGATTTTTTATCTGTTCCCCCATTGCATTTTCTGGGGGCTTTGGCGGACCTATAAAATATAGTTGCTAAGAAAAAATGGTTAAATAAATAATTGGTTATTATTATTGGTAATCTGCTGAAGAGAAACAGAGTTTTGCGATTGAAAAATATTGATTTTCAAGCAATCTATACCATTTCTACAAAAACTGTTTTTTCTTTATAAAATATATAATATATATAATATATAAATTTCATCGCTCTAAATATTTTTAAATTTCAAAATAAAAAAATTAAGTATATTTTTCGGTTTAGAACAAGCCTAGGGGATGAGAGTATAAACATTCTGTTTTTACTTTTTCACATGCATTTTGGACCACCCTAATGCACACACATATGTGTATAAATTTGTCTGCCAATGCATTTATGTATCTGCTCTGCTTGTAGTTTTCTTAAAGTTGTTGGATTATAACCGCGTCGCTTTCTCTGTGTTCTGAGGTCTGAGTATGAACGCCAATGTAGTTGTAATCACGGTTGCCATACTGGTCGAAATGTAAATGAGAACAAAATTTTATGTTAAGAACGTTTCCACAAAATAGTCAAACAGGAACAAAAGTATAGAGAGCAGTTTGAACGGGAACAAAATGAGAAAAATGGTTCGGAAAGATTTCCATAAAGAACAAAATGCGAACAAAACTCTCGGCAACGATCTCAAGGAGAACAGAATGAGAACGTAACTTTCGGGAACGTTTCCAATGAGAACGAAAGTATCGAGAACGTTTGCTAGGAGGATCAAATAAGAACAAAGGCTGTGGCATGTTCTACCAGAGAACAAAACGAGTATACAAGTTTTGAGCAAAGACATAATTATTATAAGAGAAAAGCTTAAAAGTCAACCAATAATTATTATATTAAGATACAAATTTTTCGAGTCATCTATAATTATTATTCAAAGACTTATATTATAAAAGTCCTTTGATAATAATTATTATTGCGATAAATAATTTGAAGTCTTCAAAGACTTTAATTGTGAGACTCATGTTAAAAAAGTCGTTTCATAATAATTATGAGTGGCACAAATTTTTTAAGTCTTAAAAGACGGAGCTTGTTCAGGACCATTTCGGGATTAGATGGAGACCAGCTCGGGGTTAGTTGGGCACCAGTTCGTGACAATTTGGGGAGTAGTTTGGGCCCAATTGGGGCTTAGTTTGAGAATAGTTCGGGAATATATATATAATATAGTTCCAACTGGTCCCAAATAACTCCCTAACTAGTTCCAAACTCTTTGCGACCTGATCCCCAACTAGTCCTGAACTGGCCCCCAACTAGCCTAGAACTAATCCCGAAATGGGCTCGAACTAATCCTGAAATGATCCTGAACAAGCCCCGCCCTTTAAGACTTAAACAATTTTTTCGCTGAACTGTCCATTTATGGAACAATTTTTTATTTTCCGTGCAAGAAAAGTTCGTGCCTTAAGTCTTTCGTTGACTTAATTTGCATGATTTTCTTTCAATCCTTTTTCTTTCTTCAAACATTTCTAACTAATAGAGTGCTATGAGAAAAATAATGTTCTCGTTTAAATTCTTCGCCCATAGTTTAGAGAAGATTTGTATCCGTTTCGTCGTCTGTCAGAAAGTTTCGGCGACTTTAGTTCCCAAATTGTTCTTCGACAGAAAGTTCCTTAGACATTTGCTCTCATTTTATTCTATACCAGCACATTCCGGAGACTTTTGTTCCCATTTTTTTCTCTCTAAAAACGTTCCCGAAAGTTTTGTTGACATTTTGTTCTTTTCGGGAACGTTTCACAGGATTTTGCTCTTATATAATTCCTGCTGAGAATGTTCTTCACAATCTGGTTCTCACTTTCGTTCTGGTTTGTTCTCATTTCGATTTGGGGTTTTTAACCGTTCTTGAGAGCAAAACTACGAGAACGACATTTAATTTCGATCATACCCTTTTTTCGGTCCTTGGCTGTTACATAAAATTTAATTTAGGAATGGTATGCTGGAATCGTTATAAAATAGCTCACAAACACACAAATTGGTTTATTAACTAAATCACCAATGTTTATTTGTAAAATATTTGAATAAAGGCGGATTTCATCGCTTTAGTTCAGAACTTTTCTTCCTAGAGAGAGAAACACAACAACAACCACATGGAAGAAAAATACATAACTAGAACGCTGAATCCGCTTTAATTTAATCCAGCGGTCGGCAGGCCATAGCTCACTGAGTGCTCTCTGAGCACATGTGTGTTTCAGACGTATACGAAGAGCGCCAGCTGGCCAGTGCATTTAACGCACCCTTTCGCACTTATTGAATCATTTGAATGTTGTAACTGATTTAATCTATAGCTAAAACATATTTTGGTAAATTTTTTACATTTTGATCCCCTAAAAAAAGAGAAGAGAAGAAGTGGCAACCGTGGTTGTAAAGATAGGTTGATTCGTCTGGCTCTGTGCTCTTGTGTCTCACACAAATTTACAAATGCGCATGTTGGGCATATTGTACCTTTGTTGTTGTGGTTGTTGCTCTTATTAGTGTTGTTGTCATTCATCATCATCATCAAGCAACAGCAACAGTCGAGCCAACCGCCAGCAACGAACACAATTCCATTGCAGCTGTAAGAACAGTTGATGTTTTGCTGCCATCGTAAACGTGTTCGCACTCTGCGCTGCTTGAATTTCTGTGTTTTTATTTAATTTATAAATTCAAAGTAGTAATTCAACTCGGTGCACTAAAGACTTCTTAACCGTGTTGCAGAGTTGAATAAATTTCGCTTAAGTTGGTAAGTAGGTTTCAATCGGAGTGCAAGCTACCTACTGTCGTGTTTTTGCTTTAATCTCTCGTTTTGATACAAGAAAATAAATAAATAAAAGCGTATGGCTGTTTTTCAAGGAAAACATTTGCAGTGCTTTGTTGTTTTGCTATATTCATATGTATTTATGTATGTATATGTCTTTTCATGTTTATTCTCCCAATTGTTTACAACTTTTATTTTGATTTGTGTGCTCTCTCTTCTTACACTCGTTTTTCTGCTATGCTTTCGTATTGCACTTTTTCGTGTATCTTTATTTTTGTTTTTAATCCGAATATTTGTTTTTAGTCTTTATTTTGGTTTAGTTTCTTTCCTTAACCGCGAAAAACAGCTGTGAAAGGCATTTACTTTGCATTTTTCGTAAATATGTATTTGTTTTTGCTTTCTACTTGTTTTAGTTTTTGTGTGAAGTGCTTGCATTTGCTGTGTATACCAGTTCTGTGTGTTTTTTTTTTTTCGAATTTTGTGATTGCTTACCAAGTGGCTGAAAAACAAAGGTACGCATTCGCTTATATGAATTGTTTACTTTTAGTTACGCATAAATTTCTGTTGCTCCCCTTTGCGCAGTCCAGCGGTGGTCTACTCTGTTTTGCGTTCGAATTCGTATTCGTATTAGTCCGTGGCGCATTTCGAATCCCAATACAGAACAGACCCCCAGAGCTCTTCTTCCGGTTTGGCTAATAGTAATTTTTATTACTCATACGCCGCCGTCTACTACTACCGAGAAAAAGTTCAAATTTCACCACCATAACTGCGCTGGCTAACTGTAAATCGCGATTTCTTTACGCGTGTATGTATGTATGTTTGTGTGTGTGTTTACGTACAGGACCCCTTCTGTTCTGTTCGTTTCATTGTTATTCCGCCACTTTGCGCACTTCTTTTGTGACATTCTTAGCCACTTAGATATGTATGTATGTATGCACATACATAAATATTTCTGATTATTCTTCCTCTCATCCAGTTCTGAGTTATGGGTTCATCGAACTATTTTCTCTTTTTTTTTGTATTTATTAGTCACTGATGCTTTCGCATTTAATGTATTTGATGTGTCGTTGGCTTCTTGCAGTTGCTGCGTCTTTGTATTACTTTACCGTTGTTATGACTATTCTAACAAAGCTCAACTGTTGGTAGACAGTTGGTGTTTGCATGCATGTGTGTGCGTATGAGTGCGTGGGATAACTGTCCCTGCAGGGAACTCCAGTTCCAGTTCCAGAGCTCTTTATTTGAAAATAATTAAATTGAGTAAAAAGATTTTCAAGCATTAACTTATTAAAAAACTAAAACTTCAAGGTGGGTTCTGCGCAAAAATAATGAGGATGCCGTAGCCAGAGGGTTATTTTTTCCAAGCGCGGCCAACGCCTATAGGTGTTCTGCGCAAAAATACTCTGGATGGCGGAGCCCAAGTTTACATTTTCTTTGTGCTAATTTATCTCCAGGGGTCTGTGGCGGGGTTCGAGGGGGAAGAGGGAACTTTCTTAGAGCTTGGGCTGGGTTTTTCTAATAGGTGGGGTTTTAAGGGATTTAAAGGATTTTTTTTTAGATACCCTCAGATGAAAAAATAGTTAAAGCTTAAAAAGTTTGCATAAAAATATTTAAAAAGTGTTTCAACGACAATTGAAAAACGCTCTATCTAAGCTGAAAATATGTTGATATAGGGCGTTTTTGAATCGGCAGCTGAGATAGGGCGTTCTTGAAAAGTTTTCTGAGATAGGAACTTGCTGCCGAGATATGTAGGTCGATCTTCCACTCAGCCGTCGATATACTAACTGTGGCCCTGTGCTCAATACAAGTACAACACACCAGAAACTAAGGAACAATCAAGAAGGGCACCAAAAAAGACCACAGTGGGTCTGTCGGCCAATATGGTCATGGCCACAGTTGTTTGGGATGCACGCGGTGTCATTCACATCGATTGCCTTGAAAAATCCATCAATTGGTCTACGAACTCACCATCCACCATATTCACCAGATTTAGCCCACCAGCGACTCCTGTTTTAAAACCCAAAGAAATGGCTGGGCGGTAAGAGATTTCGATCGAATGAAGCGGTCATCACTGAAAAAAAGCTTATTTTGAAGACCTTGACAAATTTATTATTTGGAAGGAATAAAAACTTTGGAAACACGCTAGACTAAATGTTTCGAGCTAACAGGAGACTATTTTGAGAATCAAAACGCTTTTTTTGCGGAAAATGTATCTTTTATCAAAAATTCACTTATATTTCAAATTGCCCTCATATTTTTCCTATAGGGTCTTTTTGTTTTAATATTTCTCTTCCAGATAACTGTCTGCTTTTAATATGAAAGCTGACTCTGTGAGTGCGTCATTAATGATAGTATATAGAGGTGAGTTTCACGATAGCCCCACACTCCCCCAGACCAGTGTGGGCACGTTGTAAGTCAATTAATTCTATTCAAATGCCGCTTTCGGCGTTTACGTCTCGCTTATGTTTTTGTTTTGAAACAAATACGTAGCTACTTACATACATACTTACATATGTATTTACATCTCTGGTTATGAAATTGTAGGAAAAACCTATAAATAACTTGTCACGTGCCCAATATCTTTAGTTTTCCTATGTTGTTGTTTTGAACTACATATTTTCCAAATTGATTTCTGAATGCGATTTGTCACCAACTTATGCACATATGTATGTATATAAATTCATTTACACATTTACCTTTAAACAGGAGTGGTACGCCTGTTTTATGGTCCACCCTGTTTGTGGTGCAACAGGCTGTCGTTGAGTCATACATATGTGTAGGCGGGTGAGCGGAAAATTACTAATATTGATTCATTTATCAAAGCAAATATCACATTGAGTGGAAGCTTTAAACCTCTATTAAGTTTAGTGGTGAATACTTTTTATTTTTGCAGTTTTTTGTGCACTCGTTTTATACATATTGAATGCCTGGGTGCTTCTATTCAATGGCTCAGGAAAAATTTATCAGCAATTCGCAATACAGGTATTAATGTATGGTTGTTCTCTCCTTTAACTGCGCAACAATATCTACTTAAGTCATAAGTTGTCAGTGCATTTCTTATCATTCATTGCATATATGAAATTTAATAGGAGTTAAGTATACATACAATTTCCTTGTAATTGTCGTAGGAATTTAGCACTTATTTTTTAGCCCTTGGCATCGCCATCACAACTGTGTTCAGAGTAAAAAATTGTGTAATGGTCCTTAAAGTGTTGGCCTGTCATTCAAAGTCGCCCGATTTCATATAAAAAAAATATAAAGTGTTTGGGCAATAGTCAATCATACATAAGCTCAGATTAAACCGATTTGGACAGAAAAGTAACTTTCAAGCCAACTTGGGTTAACTCGACAACTTTCGCAGAATTTCGCTAACTCAGGCGTTTATGAAAAAAGTATATCAATGTAAAGTACTTATAATTCTTATGTTGGCATACAAATATTTCGAAAAAATTATTATATTTATATTTGCTTAAGTTATTGACAGTTATATTTTAAGGTATGGCAAAATTAAAGAGTTAATTCCTCCTAAACTACAATAGCGGTATGAAATTTGGCATTCTTGTAGATAAATGTTTACATTTCATCATACAAAAACAAAAACTTAAAATTGTTAATTTTTTGCGATATTAACGCTACTATGAAAATGCAGTTATGCAGAAAGATTAGCCAATCGATTATCTTCAATAATCTGTAAAAAAAATGCTGCCAACGGAACGATTTAAGGAGTTGCTGTTGCTCTGTGATAAAATGAGACACCTGCGAAATGTATCACGCCGAATTCTCAGGTTAAACTTTCTTGCAGGGAACAAGGCTAGCAAGCTTAGATATATACTATGTCAAAAAATGGTAAAAAAGGATTTGAAAAAGTTGGTTACCATCTTGTATGTTTATTTGAAGTTGGAACCATGGTATGTAAGGATCCTAAAATGACAATGTACATATAATTTTTACTTATTTTTCCAATATCTCTTTGCAATAAATGTTGAATCAAAGGAAGCACTTATATATATTTTAAATTATAAAATTATTAAAGAAAATGCAAAAGTTGAAATTTATAAAAAAAAACTTCACTAAAATATAGAATTTTTTAAGAATTTTTAGCAAAATTTTATGTACGAAGTTTTATAGCCCATTAAATTTTAGTGCGATAAAGTCTGATGCTTTGTATTTTGACGTTTTGGAATGCACCCATACTTTCAAGTGACTAAGACTTCGCGTTGATTTTTATTATTTTTTTTCTGACGGTGCTAGGCGCGAAATGTCAGAAAAAAAATTTTTAGCATGCAACGCGGGAAATTTGTACTTGTGAAATTTGTACTTTATTGGACTAAAATTTAATGGGCTATAAAACTGTACACCCACAATTTTTCTGAAAATTCTGAAAAAATATAATGTTTTTTTTTATAAATTTTAGATTTTACTTTTCCAATTTTTTCCAAAAATCAATGTATCTTCTGTTATTAGCTTTCATTTAAAAAAATATCAAATCCGTTGAAAAATGCAGGCTCTGGATTATTTTGAACAGCAAATTCCAGTTTTGGACCTGAGGTTTTGGAATTCGGTTGCAATAGAATGAAGCTACCATTGGTTTTTAAATCATCACGTATTACTTACGCATACTTTAAGTTACATCTAAACAGTAATAAAACAGATCAAACCTGAATAAATTGATTTAATCTCATTGATAAACGTAGAAGCATTCAAATTAATGCAACGACAACATTTTTGGTGTTCGCCTTCTGTTGGCAGTTATTTCCACATATGTATGTATGTATGCACCCTGCAGGGAAAGCTGCTAGTTGTGAACTAGAATTCTACCAGTTTCCGTTTCAGTCCAATTCTTTCCTTCTTCAGTGTTAGCGACTGGTATTTTTAACATGGCGATGTCCTACGAGTTGTCAACTGTCAGGCTATGCATCAGCATCTACTAGTAGGAATACTAGTAGCATCATTGCAGTTAATGAGATAGTCTGTCAATTCATCCCCTGTGAAAAGCATAAGTATGCCATTTTGCCTACGGAGTTCCACCAGTCGCAATGGCCGACAGAGCAAAGCACTGGCGGTGTCCTGGGGTTCAAGGTTCAGTCCTAGCGCAGAGGAAATTTTTTTAATCATTATTTTTATTATTTTTTATTCAATTTAATTTTTTTTTATTTAAAGGTTTGTTCTAATTTTTAACATTAATTAAAAAAAAAGGTTTTTTATTCATTTTTTCTTATGGCACAAGTATTTCTTTTCATATGTACATATGTTTTTCCCGCAATGGAATTACATTTCAAAGTTATTTATATTTAAATGGAAATAGTTACATTGACTCACATTGATTTAATTTGAAAAATCTTAACCACCTCCACGAGGACTCGAACCAACGATCTCAGAACCCGAACCGGTAGTCTTCATGAATTAATTGTGTTTTATTTTTGACTTTGGCAATTCAAGGGCAAATGTCGCTGAACGCTTAAGTTCTACGAAATTGTCGAACTGTTGTAGGCCATTGCTTTAACACATACTAGTTAACGACCTAGTATTTTTTACTGACTGGTTTGCCTTTTCACTGCAGGGTATGTTTGCAAATGCACACATGCACTTCTACATACATGCTAAATATGCGAATTAATAAAAAAAAAAAATTATAAAAAATTATAAAATAAATATTTAGTTTCCTTTGTGCTGGCTTTGCCTCACCATTCTTGCTGGTTGTCGGCCTGCCTTCTTTGTTCCGTGCATGCGCGCTTTTGCATTCGAATAATTACGATATACGAGTACATGCATACATCATTTACATTACAACACACCGGCACAATGCACAAAGCGCTGAAGTGTAGAATATTAATATTATTTGCAACACTTATTCTGCGCGCGTCTCATTAAATCTTTCATTCCCCTACTAACTTGGGCAATACTATCTATGTAAATTCCTACAATTGCATGCACTCATATTTAGGTATGCGAGCTTCATATGAGAACTAACAGTGCATGCATCTAGAGATATGTATGTGGTCGAAAATGTAAAAATTAAAAATCTTGTTATCAGCCATCTGGGCGCCAATACAGCTTTCCACAGCCAATCAACCGGTGGATGGATCATTTGTGATTTATCGCATTGACCTGTAGACGATCTCATCGATTTTTACAGCCTGTCCCGATTGTTAACATGGTCTTGTATTAAAATTTGCACAAGTGCATTAGGGTGACCTTTAAAAATATCAAAATCTAAATTCGGTTTGGGAACCTCTTTATTTGGTTCTACGTACAAAAAAGACATCGACGGAAATTTAAAAATTTCAAGCAGCCTTTTAGGGAGATGCAATAATAAATTCTGTTTTTTTCCAATCGAAAACTTCTACAAAATTTTCACTTGAAGTCTGATAAATTTGACATATTATTGAAACTTATTCATAGAGATTCATACTCGCTTGTCAAAGTCAAGGTTTGGTCAAGTTTTTGCATAAAAAAAATTGAGTATTTCAAATCCTGGAAGCGGACGCTATTTTTTTTTTTGAAATTTTAGTGAATATCTTATTTTGTACGTAGTAAAAATAAAAAAATAATGATGTTGATATTTAATGTACACGCAGTGCTCCCGGGACTTTTTTTTGATAGAATCTCTTGTTACTCTTTAGGAGACTTCTAATAACAATACACAATTTTTTATTTAACCATTTTTTAATATTAAATATTTATAAGTCTCAAAAAATTCCTTGGGAGGGGGGGACTCATAAAAAGTTGTTTGTATATAAAAATGGTAAAATAAACAATTGGGTATTATTATTGGATGCCTCCTGATAAGAAAAACAGTTTTCCTCCTACCGCTTAGACTTGCTTTTTAAATTTTTCCTAGTAAACATAATCGTGGCACAAACCTCAATAACAATATTAAAATAAAATGTTAATAAGCCACAATAAAGTTCACGAATCGGAAAATATTGATTTTCATGAATTCTGTATTACTTCTACAAAAAAGTGGCTTTAACAAAAAAATATGGATATCATTTTTGACCACCCTAACATAAGTACAAACATACATATGTAGCTGTACGTCTGCCTTTATTGCTTGTTATTTGTGCAATATAGTACATACATACATATCAGTTGTTACTTGGCCCCTATGAACTTTCATTGTGTCTTTGCCTCAACGCCGCTGCTTCAGTCGACAGTTCAAGACCATGTACATTAATCCTCTGTTGCCTCGTTTAACTCCAACTTCTACCGACATGCACAAACACAGAGGCTTACAAAGCATACATATTTGCATGTCTGTTTGCCTAGTCCTTTGCAGCCATCTATGTATGCACCTTTCTGTTTGTCCATTTTTATTCTTTCCACTCATTATTGTGTCTGCCATTTGGCTTTGTTGATCCGCTTATTCCGCTCCTGCTTCCGTTCTGACTTTGCTACTCTCTGTCCTCTATATCTATCCCTCTCTAATAACTCGACTTTGCTGTTCTGTGCAATTCTGCATTCATTGCGTTTTCCATTCTCTTTGTTGCAGTTGCTGTAAGTGCAAATTTCTATATTATTATGTACATAAATATTTTTCTTTGTTGGATTTCCACATGTTGCCGTCTATGGTCTGTATTGTAGGCGCAGTCACAGTCACAGGCAAATATGCATGTCTGGCATATTGGTTACCCACGACTTTCTGTGCTCCAGTCTTTGTTTGTATGAATTTTTATGGCTCCATGTCTGCAGCTGTTCTTTGATTTATTTTATTTAGCAATCGGAGTTCTAGTAGATACATATGTATATATGTAGTTAAAATGTTGTAGGGTTGCCATTAGATGGCTGTGTTACAACATTATTTGCTTATTTAATGATTTGCAAATTTTTATCGAGCAAATGAATTAATTTGCTATGTGTAAAAAGTTGGTATTCATTGTTGTGATGCATGGGTACATAAATGCAAATGGAAAAATTCTCGCAGATCATTTAATCACATTATACAAATGTTGTCATTGAAATGTCATTACAAATGTTGTAATAAAAAGACTAAGTAAAAGATAAACGCGCAATAAAATAATTTTATTTAAAATTAAACAAAGTAAATTTTGATGATCAACATAACCGCCTTGTACATACAGTGCTTGCAACGAATAATGGAACAAGTTTTTAGCCAGCTGATTTTTTTTCAAAATCTAACAACTGAGATGCATTTTTGTTTGTAAAGCTTGTCCGATTACTCGTTTGAGTCACTGTAGCTCGCAAGCAAGAATTTAAAGCTGCCGCTCAAGGAAGGCAAAAGTAATTTTTTTTGGGCATTAGAGGGTTAAACTACCTTATAGCATCGGTGTCCATTGAGCCCCTTAGGCCTAATTTTGTCACCTTTCGAGATCTGGATATGGAGGGTGTTTTCAACCAATTAGCAAGATCTATATCGCTATAAATACAGTAAAACTTTGTTAATCCGGATCAATTAAAACCAGCTCAACTGGCCTACACAGGAATCCGGATTACCAAAGGCAATATTGTAAGATATTTCAACGACCTAAACGGGCTGTGGCCACCGAGGACCAGTACGACGCAGGGTATGAAGCTGCAGACAGCGCAGAACACACCACTTCGGACAGCGACCGGCTGTCTTCTGATGTCGCCAGAACACCACGTACATGACGAGGCGAAAATGCTCCCCATATGGGAGCACAACACAATGCTCTGCAAGCATAAAGCAACCTATGGACCCGTCAGCATATCGACAGGCCCGTTGCGGCTTTCACAGGGAGTCAGTCTCAAGTTGCGTAGACTCCAGACCTGTGAATGCCGTTCTGGGCACACAACTACCTGACGTAGACGAGATGGAGCTTCGTCTGCACCGAGAGACTCGGACCACAATAGCCCAACTTCGCTCTGGCTACTGCAGCAGGTTGAACTCATACCTGAGCAGATTAGATGCAGATGTGCCAAGCGAATGTCCGGCATGCGGAGAGATATCCCACGACTCGAAACATCTCTTTGTATGTCCGCAAAACCGCACACAACTAATGCCTCTGTCCCTGTGGACAGACTCTATAGAGGCTGCACGCTTCTTGGGTAATCCGTTAGTTGAGCTTGACGACAACGTCTGAGATACCAGCCGATCTGGGCGGGGGTGTTGTAGCCGTTAAAACAACAACAAAAACAACAACAACAACAACAAAAGGCAATACAATTATTGAGGAAATGGTGCATGTACCGACGCCATATTTTCCTGCTAACTATTTTCCACTAAAACCATTACTCAACTGAACTAAAATAATTTCCTTTTCTGCTGGAGCAAATTTTTTAGCCCTGGACGGATTAGACCATATCCGTATTAGGGAATTTTTTCTGTAGTATCTAACTTAAAATTCGTTTTCAATATCTCAGCCGATGACATCTCCAAGTCGGTTGATGTCTGAATGCGGCAACAGTTAACATGGCAATTACATAGCTTTTTGTGTCAACTCAAATATTGACTACTAGAAACATATATACACATTTGTAGAAGCATCTATGTATCTTGCCTTATCATTCCATTACTAAATTTATAGATGCGTACTTTTGATAAACTGATAAACTAAATACTTGAAATCTTTTTTTTACATTACAGGAAATTTGATATTTAATCACTGGCAAAATAAACAGAGACGAGTTTGATTTCAATCGCAATAACAGTTCGCATACTGGCCAAGAACAAAAGAGCTAAAAACCTAAAAACATAAACAAACACAAGTGGGTTGAGTGTGTGTGCGAGACAAAGGCTGAGATTACCAGACAGACCACTGGGCGATAGAGTTCCAGCGTCGCTGCAATAAAACCAACCAATACCAAGCACCAAAGTCATTGCAGGAGGTGCGCCATCGCCAGCGGTGCTATTTTCTGTTTTTGCGCCGCGGCGTGGTTTCGTATGGAGTGTTTGTTTTTCGAACTGCTGGTCGGTTGGTTGGTGTGTCGCAACATAAGGGAGGTGCAACGTACATATAAACAATCACTTATCAGAGCGCAAATATAGATACTAAAAGCTATCACGGTGCACACACAAAATCACATAAATACCCTACACTCCGAGTGATATATTGTATATATAATAAGTGAAGGAACTACAACAACAACAACTGTAAGCAGAGAAAATATCAGCTAAAAAGAACTGGTCTGTGGGAGAAGCGCAATAACACAACCGAAAGCGTCGTCGCCATAGTCGCGTAAAAAATACAAGCAAAAAAGATAAATAGGAGTAGAAAAATAAATAAAAATACATACCGAAGAAAAAAGTCGAAAATAATAAAAATAAACCAAAGCGCACTAAACGCGGACAAAATAAAGAGCAACGCGCTTTGGATGCCGTTGAGTTGTTGTTGAACCGTGGAGCTACAAACAAGCTGGTAAACTAGATGGTCGCGCTAAACGAGTCGATTCGAAAAAAAAACACACACACAGACAGTGCCAAAGTGAATGTTGTTGAAGAGTTGTGGTTTTGCCTTACTTCACTTGTGTTGCTCTAATTGCTGCAAGTGCTTTGGAGTGTGCAGCACCTACATACATACATACATACATACATAGATAGTTAGATCTTGGTGGAATTAGAGGTGTGCAGTGGAGACATAGCTTGACGGAATCACAAGCGGCTTAGCTAAAAGTAGACGAAGCGAAAAGTTAAAATTTTTCGGATTTCTTTTGTTGGTAAGTGGGAAATTTATTTGATGAGCACAGCGTGCCAGCTGTGCTATACGCTGAATCTTAATATTGCCATTTTTTTTTGCTTGTACCTTTGGTGTGCTTAATCGATTGGAGCTAATTGAAATTCTTTTCTCTTTTCGGTCGCAACAGCTGACGTTATTTACGCTGCACGAGATCAAGAAGAAATCTGCATATACATACATATAGAAAGCAATAAAAAAGTGCAAGGTAAAAGCAGTCGAGGCCAACTATCATAAATCGCATATATACAGAGACAGCAGTCGGTGGAGCTCAGCACAATGGTGAAGACATTTCAAGCCTATTTGCCGTCCACGAATCGGACGTATTCATGTGTTCATTGCCGTGCGCATCTAGCCTCGCACGATGAGCTTATCTCCAAATCGTTCCAGGGCAGTCAAGGACCGGCCTATCTTTTTAATTCGGTGGTGAATGTGGCCTGTGGCCAAACGGAGGAACGTGTGCTGCTCACCGGTCTACATGCCGTGGCAGACATCTATTGCGAATGCTGCAAAACGCCATTGGGCTGGAAGTACGAGCACGCATACGAGTCCAGTCAGAAGTATAAGGAGGGCAAATACATCATTGAGTTGGCGCATATGATCAAGGAGAACGGCTGGGATTGAGCGATGGTGGTAGCGAAGCCGGTGGTGCTGATGCGATCGTACAGATCGGGTATGATGAAACGACGCGTGGCGAAGGCGGAGGCAGTGCAAACTGATGCTTTTGACAAAGATGCGGTTGTAAAAATTGTTGGAGATGTTGTGCTTGAGGATGGCATCGGTGTTGGTGTTGGTGTTGACTTGTGAGGAGCGGCGGTGTAATAAGCTGAGGTGAGGAAGTGTCGTGCCGGGAATGTAGAGTTTAGATATTGTGATGCGTTGATGCTGGTGTCGGTTTGGATATGTTTAACAAGTGTTATTATGCGTTCAGTCAACATTATCGAAACAAAAACATTGCAAATCAGTGTTAAAGCAAAGTTAAATTAAGAAAGTGCTTTAAAATAAATTTTTAAAATGAGTTTAAGTCTAAAACTAAGAATGCTACCTACTAGATTTTCAAAGGACATAACTCTATTTTAGATTATGTACAAACAAATACATTTACAAAACCAGCGGCTGCATATTTGTAACCTACACGTTCCTCTCTACTGACATACACACATCTTTCCTACGCCAATACACTCGCACATACCGATGTTTCTTAATCGAAATAAGTCCTAATAACAAAAATAAATGCGTAAAAAGCCTGCAGAAACTTGCTTCAANTGGTCCACACTGAAATTTAGGAAAGAGCCACAAACACAAATTACTTTGAGTAAATGTTGAGATGAAATCGAAAATCCACAAATGTGTGCAAAAAGCGCACCAAAGCGCTGAACGCTGACGCAAATGCAAAGCTAGCGGAAATGAAAGCACAACTGGCACGCGCGCGCTTATTGTGAAGGTGAAAATTTGGAGTTGTCGCTGTTTGCTACTACCACTGCCGATTCTTTAAATCTTCAAATTACAATTCCTACAACTACACTCATCATTGCTGTTGATGTTAGCTACGGCGGTAGCCGGAGTTGGGCTACTGCAACGCAATTAAATACTCTAGAAAGAAAATCTTTAAAAATGTAACTTAGTCAATGAAGTAAATGCTTGACGTTAAAGGTGTTCGCATACCATTCGGGACTAACCACACACAGACACATAGATACTTTCTAAGTTTTAGTGGTGCTGGTCAATTGAATTTCCCGAAATTACGCATCAACTTTCCCATAACTTGAATACATACTTATTTATCATTTAATTGTGCACACTTATGACATTAATGTTTTTTGTATTTGTAATTATGCAACTGCTGTTTTAAAATATTGACTAAATGTGAGAAATATATGTATAGACCCTGCTTGTAATTTTAAATCTTATTATGTGCGATTTTCTGTTTAGTTACTGGAGACATAGATACTATACAACGCTTTAAAGTAATCAAATAAATATTAAATTATGCTTCACTTTTATGTTAAAAGTTTAGCTAAGGAAATAACTTAACAAATATCAAACGACTTTACATTTCGATTTATTACCGTTAGCGCCTATTAAACATTTTGTTGAAAAACAATAACAAAATCAGCTGACATGCAACAACGAAGTATTGAAAAAATATGCTTCAGCGAGAAGCTACATACATTAGCGCATTGTAAATGTTAATTAATATGCATGTGTTTTTGCGAGTTTTATAATATTATTGTGCTTGTCAATAATATTTAACACAGCGAACTCGTTACATATTTGTTCATTAATTTATCGCTGTATAATTTAGCACATTTTTGCTTGAATGATATAAATACATTTGAGAGTACATAGTATGTGTAGTAAATAGATAAGCGAATATTATCAACATCATACAATTAATGTACGTACATATTAGCATACATATGTGTATATGTAATGACAATTAGTTAAAATCGATTTTTGAAGTACTGTAATTTTGAAGCGAATAATTGCTGTATTCTAAATAATAAGTTTCATGAACGCTTTGCAGCCTGTTGAGATGGGGAAATGAGCTGAACAAGAAATTCAAATTAGCAGAGCGATATTGTGAAGGTTTAAAAGAGCGAAAATAAAGAAAAACATTCAAAGAAATATTGTAAGGTAACGGTGGTCGGTGTTAGCCTTAACAGCACAAAAATTCCCAAACAGTTGACGGTAAAGTTGCTCAAGTGATAGTCCTTGACTGCTAGATGGTAGCCTAAGAAAATCAATATAGGAGGAAATAGAAAGCGCTAGGAAGGATTGGTAAACCAGAAAGATAAAACTAAACATGGCAGTGTACTTTTAATTAAATTTTGCAAGGTTTGAGACTATAGGCAATGTGTAATCTGAGTGCCACGAACAATAATGCTGCATGCAAGCGAAAGAGACAAAACAGAACGATCTCAATAAGGAATTTTTAGCAAAGATCGTCAAGAATTCGAACTGTGCTCTAAGTGAAGCTATGAAAAAGGTTGAGAAAAGTTATGCGCTTGAGAAACAGATATATTTTTAATTATTTTATTTTTGCATTAAAAACTTTATTAGTTTATCAATAATAGCGAATAGTTACACCAAGTTCAATATTTATATGTAGCAACGAAAAAATTAAAAAATTAATTTTCTGCACATGGTGATAAAAATATGCAAGTAAATACAAAATGTATTGAAACATAAAATAAAGCCACTTGGGATGTTATAAGCGCAATAGCTTATCGAAGTATGGTTTACGAATAGTAATTGTGCTTGGAAAATGACGTAAATATAAATTTTGAGAAGCACGTTTTGGTACTGATAGCATTTCGTATAAAATATCGAGCCTAATCGCCAGAATTATGTTGCTCAAGGTGCATTTCTCCATCAAACAGAAAATGTTTTAAAAATGTCTTTAAGGGTCGATGCATCTGTGGCATTTTATAAAAAAGAACTTAGCGACTTTAGAAGTTTTGACTTTAAATTAAATAATAATGCATTTCTCTTGAAAAATGTGTCTTTAATTAAGCTTCTATTAAGAGTGCATATTAAACAACACCACTTTGGCTAGTTAATGGTTAAAATATTGTTTGGGAACCCATTTAAAAATTCAGCTTTAAAGGAAAAATGGCCTATCTCGAGAGAATTTATTTGAATAAAATGACAGATATTTTCTTCCCAAGGTCAAACATGCGTTATATGCATTTTTTGAAAAAAAAATCTACATTTTTCGAAAAACAAAAGATGTGTATTCTTTTCCGAAAGAAAAGGTAGCAACCTCAAAACGTTTAACTTTTAACTGTGACATGGGGTCGCACAGACCTTTTAATCTCATGTCGAAGAAGACTGAAAATGCTATGTGTGTTAATTTTTAATAATATTTTTTGGTTCCTTGCAAATAATAATGAATTATTTCAACCTAGTACATATTTACCACCTTCATACACTTTTGTTTTACCAATTTTACCAGATGTAGTGGTATGTGGGACCCCATGTCCCGGCTAGCCACAGGAAAAAAATTAATAAAAATAACTTGGACTTAGTTTTGTGAAAATGTGAGATTTAAATATGCCTTATAGCCCATTTCCACCAAGAGCTTAAGTGCAGTTAGCAGCTCAGATAAGTTCCAAGAATTTTACCAGTGGGGGATGAGCAAGGTTTATTTCATAATTGTTTCTTTTTTCCTTACCTTTATGAGCAAGAGGCATAAACTGCAGTTAAAGCTTGGCGGTAATGAGCTATCTATTAGTTTAATTATCTACATTAATGTGATGGAAATTATTTATAGTAATGAAAAACTGGTGAAAAAAGCATGTTACTAAATGTGTACAGTTATACTTTATAATATTTCTAAAGAAATTATCTACCTTTTTCTCAGCTTTTTGGTTTTTACAGCAACTGTTCGATTTATTCTGATGATTGTTTTTACTGTTTTTTTGCGTACATATATTCAAATGATGCGAAGTAACGGGCTGCAAGCTTCGTGCGTTAATATGCAAAACAAAATAATATTTCAATAGTAGGTGAACAAAATGTAAAAATGAGCATACAAATATGCAAAACAAGCAAAAACAAAAAAAGAACTGCCAAGAACGAATTCGCGTCATAAACGTCGTTAGTTCCCTTATAATAAAATTATGTAATAAACAATTATAATAAAAGAACAGTTAGAATATCAAATTTTATTGCGTTGTAAATGTAGTTAAAAAAAAATATGTGAAAAACGATGATGCGCTGATAAAAGCTTTTAAAAGCTTAAAAAAAAAAACTGAAACTACTTTGTTCATATGCATGCAAAAATAAGTTGATAGCAATTAAGCTGGGCTGTAGGCCTAGAAAATAATGAATCGCATTGATTGGCTATACTTTGATTGATAATATTTGCTTTCTCCTCACGAAAGAAACAAAAAAACTTTAAATTCGTTTATCCCGTAAACTACATATATACATACATACATATGTACATACATGTGTATGTATTTACATACATACATACATTCCTCATGCACCTTAATCCAGTTGTAGGCAACCACCCACAAGCAGTGCAAATATTTATTAAAATTTTACACACATACATATGTATATTTAAATTAAATACCAATTTTTTTTTAACTGTGAAAAATAATTTTAATCACTTCCAGTTGTAAAATTTTATTTTGGCGCTTGGAAATTTAAACCAATCATATACTGTATTTACAGAGTCGCAAAGGAAATGCCAAGCTGTAATCCAAGTTAAATTTAATACACTGACATAAATATTATTGCAACGAAACAATAGTACGAATAATTAGTAATATCTTTTTTTGAAGAAAAAAACCTTAAGAACCTTCGTTTTTCTCAAATACATTATTCCATGCTACGAGTTTCAACGTACACTTTTAATTAAAAAAAACATAAAAAAGAAAACAAAAACATGAAAAATGTACATTTTTGGGTATTGCCATGGTGAAATTATACCAGGTGTAGTAATAAAACAGCTTTCTCGCTTTATTTTCTTAGTTTTCTTGAAATTCGGCTATCTTATAGAAATTTTTTCAAGCAAATTTTCAAATAAGATACTGTCGAATCTTTCTTCTAGCTCTTATTACTACATCTGGTACAATTTCACCATGGGGTATGGCAATTGCTAAGCGAAAGCTTAAAGCAAACTAAAACAAAATGGCTTTAACGCAATTCACACAGGCACAGTAACTGCATATTTATGCATACGTATCTGTATTTAAATGAAACAAATGCAAAAATATATCTATTTTCTCTACACTATCATTAATATCTATAACAATAAAGATATGATTATCTGAATGTACTATGTATATCTATGTACATAT